CCAAGTAACGAATAATAGGAAGGATGACTGTACTTGCTTTCCATGGCTGCTGCTGCTCAGATTCAGGGCGCTGCGGTATGCCATTGACGCGGCTCGACTAATTAGGGTCAGCAAGGCCGCGTCGTTTGTTGACTTGAGGTCAGTAGTCTGCCAATACCAATTCGCCAGAGTTTAGAAGGCCATGTCTCCGAGGTCTCGCGCACGAGGCTGCGAGAGGTAATCTCCACATCATCATTCACGACGCAGCGCCGCGACGGGTGACTAAGGTTTGGCACTAGCATTAGCAGAAATGTGCACGAGGGCTCGAGCCAAAGATACGACGCTGCTCCGGAGTGAGTGATGGGCTGAGATACACTTCGTCCCTATTCGCGAGGGCGTGAGTACGGGCGGGCTGTCTCCCAGAGAACCGTCTCTGACGGCGGCCATGACGCAGCTTGGCCTCGTCGTCCCATCATCAATCCCGAAACAGCAGAGTCTGAAACCACATGGGACCGCCCGGCCCCTGCATAGCCTATCAGCGGCGAAACAACAACCACTCCCGGCACTCTTCTCTCTGGCTCGTATAGCCTCAAACTGGTGCGTAGCAGTCGACGGGCGCAAAATAGGGGATCATGGAGATGACAGGCAGCGTCTGTCGCAGCTCTGACGTAGCCGCCGTCACTTAGGCCAACTCCAGCACCCTCTTTGAGCCGTATTGGGTCGAGCCATGCGCAAGCTGCCGGACCATGGACATTCTACGATGCAGGCACAGTGAGAGCACGCGGCTAGCCCAGTCGCTCCAAGGGATAGGCGCTAGCCATAGACCGGAGCTTTTGAATACGATCTTGCATTCCCCCGTCTCCAGGAGCCAAGACGTCCCAGATGTCTCGCGGCGTCGAGAAACTACTCTAATCCATCTATTCTTGCCCATACTCACTACATCACAAGATGCGCCGTCGTCATTACGGTGTGATTTGATAGAGTTAACTAGAATTCCCAAGGCCGTGCCGAGCATCGACTTGTTGAAACACTCATGAATCATGGGCCGTCTCCCCTCCTGATCCCCTCGTACCTCTGCCTGCAATGCCCAAAATACCATGCGAGACTCCCACCAGCAGTCAATGGGCGGGGAAGCATCTCGTATCCGCGCCCGCACACCTCGGATCTGTGTTGGCCATGGCAACTAGAGTTTAAGATAGAGTTCGTGGTGGAGACTAGCCGGGCAAACGCGATGCCACAGTATTCCCCATGTAGAGCCACTTGTTGTCTACTTGAATGACTGACTCGAATATGCCATTCGAGGAGCCCATGGGCTGTAGTCGTTGGAGAAGGGCCAAATAGACTCTCGACAACGGTAGGAAAGGGTGACTACAATGTCTAGTTCCGATAGACGAAACGTTCGTCGGTAGAGCTGCACATGAAGTCATCATTCAGACCCAGCGCGTCCGCGAGCCCATCTGGGATCAGGCGATGTTGGCTAGCAGAGCTGAGCAGCAACCGCCACGGTATTTGTAATGGATTTCTACTACTGCCATGTGTATGCAGCGGAGGGTGCGTGGGGAGGCTGTGCACGGGAGGAGCAGATATCGATGGAAGGTTGGGAGCAGCGGAATTGCCCATGAATTCCTCTTGGACCCCGAAGAAATGGATGAGACCACTTTCTCCACTTGGCCTCTCCCGCCGTGGATGTCAGTCGAGTAAATATATCGATATGTAGGCGACGCCGAGACAGACTCACGCCCGTCGTCTCCGATCCATCTCGAGAAGTCTCCACGACCCACACCCACTGGCCATGGAACGTGTTACTCCGGAGGAACACTCCACCCATACCCGACCCATCGTGTGCAAGGCCGGCAGAGTTCGGGGAGGCGCGCAGTGGACAACGTTGCGCGTATGGGGGCCTTTGTCGGAACAGGTGGACCATCGGCGCCTCGCACACACGCATGCACGCACGCACGCACGCACGCACGCTATTCGAACCACTTGATTTACTTTCGTGAGGACTCCACCCGAGACTATTGTCGTGCTGCAATGGATGCGTCCTTGTCCGCCTCTCCTAGCGTGCCCCATGGAATTAGGTTGGCGTAGCTCGTCGTCGCCGATTTCCTACTGGCCATGCTACGGCGAGACATCCCTTTGGCCGTGTCAACCATATCTACACACGTGACCGCTGATTCGGGCGTAGCGTGTTGGTGGAAAAAAGATATCGCGACGGCACTTGTGTCGAGATCTAGAGCGTGCATCCTTCGCCGTTGATCAGGGTGAGTCTGGCTCGATCGAATTCGCGTGTGTGTACCCGCCGTGCCAATCCTTCGAGGCAAGTGTCTGAAAGTCAATAGAGTCATCTAACATCTATTCTAGACACCGACGGCGTGTCAGAGGCAAAAAGCCGAGTACACATCAATTGATTTCAAGCAAGAGATACTCCAAGGCAATTTCCATGCCGAAGCACGGCGGGCCAGACTCACTGATTCGTGGGGCCCACAAGGCACGTCTTGGACGGCAACCGCTATTTCGGTGTCAGAAGGAGCCTCACCCGCCCCCCTGGAGGCTATGCAAGCTACACGGGTGCCGCACATTCGCGAGTCGAGCGCTGGAAAAGGCGTAGCTATTTCGGACGGAGGCATCCTATTCATGCGGCTGCCTTGTGCAGCGGTTGTTTGCGCGACAGCAGCTCACCCGAAACAACCCGGCGTCACGACGTCTAGACCCGTCCAGGGAACAATCTGGAGATGGAAGTCCGTCGAGAACGACGGCCTGTCTCAGGTCAGACTCGCCGCTCCGTTGGCGATGACCTGTGGATTTTGCAACTACAGTCTTCAGTACACTGGCGTTTCAGGGATGTCCACCAGCCGGTCTCTCGACAGACGTAAGACGCCGGGCTGCATCTAAACGCACATGGCAACGTCCTCTAATCAAGCACAAAGCTTTGAGTCCAAGGGTCCATTTGTCCTGCCACCCTACCGTTCCTGGCGCCAAGTGGGTAATAATCCGACTTGTGCGGCCCAACGGGCGTAAAAACTTTATCTGTGACTTCTCTATATTAACGCTTACGAGCGGGCATAGATACTGAAAACGCAATGCTCTAGACGTCTTGGCGCTCCGTGTTCTTCGATGATGGTGGTGGTGGGGACGCCGCTGTAGGGGATGGCAGCGTAACCTATACATACCACGTGATTCAGGCCGGGGCTAGGCGATTATGTAAGAAGTGGGTTCGACGGTCGGTCCAGGCTGGAATGGGACCCGGTATCAGACCGCAGAGCTGCCTACCACCTCCATCAGCACTACCGTATCCCAAACCTGGCCCTTCGTTGTCGGCTCAATGTGGTTGGCAGTCGAACGAGTGGAGAAGATTGGGGGTTCGTGAATCAGCCGCTGGTCTCTAATACGGCCAGTCATGTTGGCGGCTTTAGGCGTGAGACAGGCCGTGTGCCAAGAAGAGGGTGTTTGACGCGACATGGATGGACCTGGACGGGACTTGCAATGCACGTGCATGGGACCTGCGTAGGAGATGGTTACCATTCAGGCCAACTGCGCCAATAGGACAGGGGGTTGGGACATGGAAGGGCGCAGAAGAACAAGAGAAGCAGAAGAGAAGAACCAAGAAGCGCTAGATGGTGTCAGAGCGCGCCTGCGCGAACATGTCTCGCCGACGCGCTCGCAGCGCTGCGTAGTGTATCTGCAAATGTCCCCCAACGAGATGGCTCTCGCCGTGCTAGTGCCAGCTTCACGGCGAGTCACGGGCGTGGAACCTGGAAATACCGGGCATGGACGGTGACTGTAGACGTCGGTCTTCAGAGCCCATCTTGTGGGCATCGAGCAGAAGCGGAGCGCAGAGGCCTTGGTCTATAATCCACAGAGGAGAATAGCAAAGTCATGGTAATACCGTCAACACGATTTAGTGAGTGAGCGGAGAGACCAGCCCCTCCCCCGTCGCCATCAGGGCCGGGGGGGAACGAGTCGGGGAAACACGTCTGTGATACCCTTAATTACTTCGCGTCCCCATTGCGTGCCAAGCCAGGCCAAACCACCAACCCAGCGACCACGGAGCTACGGCATGAATGCGTGTGGTTTAGAAGGGTTATCCAACCGTCAGTGAGGACCTCTCACGCTTACACGGAGCCTGTGCCAAGACGGGCCGTTCGTTGCGATGGGGGAGGGGGGAGGCCAAGCAGGAGGCAGAGCTTGTCGCGTTGGCGATGGCCCTCGACTTGGGCTTGCGCGGTTAGGATGAGAATGGTGGCTGCGGGAAGGGAATTACGATAGTGACGGCCAGCATAGGGGATGGCAGAAGGTCTTTTTTTATCCGGCTCGTTTGGGATCTGAGTCGATCGACAAATGAGGATCCACTCGCTCTCATCATGGTCTCAATCTACCCTGTCTCAAACTGACAACAACCTAGAGCGGGTTTCCTCTTGTCGGGGCGAATTCGACATTAAAATCCCACGCGTGCTCGCCCTATCTGCCCATTCTCCTTCTCCGTTGCAGACCCCTCTCAGCTGATAAGACGACTCTCTCCTACTCTCCCCTCACCCCCCCCCCTCGCACGCCCTCCACTCGTCCGTCTATTTTGTTTCTCCGCCATCTCCTGCATCTCTCAATCTGCCAACCTCTCCGCGTCTGTCCTGACTCCCACGGCGACCGCAGCTACTATTATTTCTGATATCACTGCCTTCACCTCTGTCAACCCCACGGTCTCTACATTCGCTCTCATTTTCCATTTGTTCGCCATTATTATCCCTTCGTCTACCACCCTATATCCACCTTATTAACTCTCTGTCAAACCGCAGCCAAGCTCAGGGGACCCCTTTCAACTCGACTCAAGCAAGCCATACCGCTTGCGTCATAAGCTACTTAACGTTTCCTTCAGTCCTCTCCTGCTACGCCATTCTCCCAGAGCTTCGAATAAGTACATCTATTGTACACCCCCTTCCCCCTTTACACCAATACGCTCAGTTCAAGAGCCACAAGCTTTTATTAATATTAGTATCTGAATCAATCTACTCCGCCACATCGCCTCCATGAGTTTCCCACGACACAGGCACAGTGTATCCGAGCCTCGCTACGACGACGAGGACATGAAGATGTATCCCGTCACCACCAAGCAACAGCATGCTCTTGATATCGAGGACCAATTCATCGCGAGTGATCTATCCGGTGCCAAGATGAATGAAAAACACGAGGACAACTCAATCCCTCGAGAGGGTCTCACCCTTCGACAACGCTTAAAGCACTTTACCTTTGCTTGGTACTCCTGCACTATGTCAACTGGCGGCGTCGCCTTTACCCTCTCAGTTATTCCTAATCGCTTTCCCGGCCTCACCCAGATTGGCCTCGGGCTCTTCGTTATTAATGTTATCCTCTTTATAACCTTCACCGCTCTTATGATTGCTCGCTTTATAATTCACCCAGGCACCTTACGACACGCCTTTCTTAATCCACACGAAGGTTTCTTCTCCGCTACCTTTTGGCTGACTCTAGCCACCATGATGTCCAATAGTACCGCATATATCCTACCCCACGCCGGATCTTGGCTTCCTGTCGTCCTACGCTACTCATTCTGGACCTACACAGCTCTGGTCACGGCTCATGCTATCTTCTACTATAATATCCTATTTACTCATCACAAATTAGTCATTACAAATGTTCTCCCTGGCTGGGTCCTGCCAATCTTTCCACCTATGCTTGTTGGCACTTTGGCCTCTGCCATTGCTCGCAGTCAACCACCACAGCAAGCCTTGACCATCCTCGTCGCCGGTCTCTCCTATCAGGGACTCGGTATGATGATTGCCATATTCATGTACAGCCTTTATTTTGGTCGTCTGCTAACCTGCGGCTTACCGGTCGATATGTCACGCCCTGCCATGTTCATTGCTGTTGGCCCACCATCATTCACCGCCTTGGCATTTATCGGAATGGCCCAGAGTGTCACTCAAGCTGATATTTTTCAAACTGACATTGGTTTGGATGGAATCGACTCTGCTCTCATTGCTCCAATACTCCTCCTACTCGCGCTCATTGCTGCCATCTTCCTCTGGATGCTCTCCTTTTGGTTCTTCGCCATCGCGCTCCTTGCCACCATCGAAGCCATTCCCCGCAATGACTTTCACCTCAATTGGTATGCCTACGTTTTCCCGAATGTTGGCTTTACCATTGCCACCATCAAGATAGGTGAGAGACTTATGGCACCCGCAATCCTTGGTATCGGCATTGGCATGGCCTCAGTCATCTTTGTACTTTGGGTGTTGATTGTAGTGTGTCACATCAAGGCAGTCATTAACAAGCAAATCTGTTGGCCTGGAAAGGATGAGGATGCCCATTGAATCGAGCGCTTCACCTACAGCAACCCTTGGTTTCGCAAGATGGCTTAGCTCCCACTCGGCTCCCAAGCCCACCCTCTCTCCCTCTCCTGGAAATGACGGAGAGGAGAAATGAAAAGAAAAGCAGCTACTACAACTCGCTGTATGGCCTATGACTGGAAATGGCGCACGGTGTTTGGAGTACTTTCCTCGCGTTGGTTTGTTCTCGAAAATCCTGCTTGCCTTTCTATCCGCACAGACCGATGACTGCTGGATAGTCATGGGCCACTTGAATCCCCGATTTAATTATTCTAGAGAACTACAAAAGTGAAAAATTTGGTCACGTACACATTTTAATGGATTTGGTAAATTTTTTGGGTGGCAACATGTCAGTGTTGCCTCCAGTGGACGAACAGGCACAACGAAGCCTGAGGAGAGGGAGTCGGCGAAATAGGGAAAAATTCTTGGCACACCTGTAAATTAGACTAGAGACAGATAGATTTACTTTGTTTGGCGAATGCATACAACTTCCGAAGCTGATCCCCGTCCCCCTTGAATGATGATGACTGTGATGTTGCTTTTTCGTCAGTGCGCACTGTAGCGGTTGGAGATGTGTGTGATCGGCACCCCCCTCCCTAATCGGCCAACGCTAGAGCCTCCAGTCCAAGGCGCGACACATTGGCTCATCTTGCTTTTGATGATCAGGCACGGAACGGGACAGCTCCAAGGTGGCGTACGTGGCGCCACCATGTCTGGTGCTCAGGGACTCAGACGCGCGTTTGTCAGGAAAGAGCGTGTTAGTTGCTAATCAGATGCAAGTCTATGGGAGCCACGCCAGACGCAGGTACGAGTAGGCGCTTGTCTCTGTTAGCACGGCGGCCCATGAGCCTTAAAAGCCTGCGAACTTGATGTGTTTCGCGAGTGGACGTCGACGAGCCGAGTGCGAACCATGGGCGCGTCCGTCCGGGAACGCGTTGCCTTGCGGGCTCGACGAGTAGCCATCGGCCACTGGCCACAGTGGGCGGCTGGGCGGCGCGCCTCACACCAGACACGAGGGCCGGCGGTGTGTCGAGGCTCGGCACTCCGCGAATGGTGAGCCGCCAGCCGCGGGTCGAGCAGCGTCGCACGTCGGGTTTCAGTGGCCGAAGACTCGACCGCGCGGACCCCCCTCATCCCTTCCGCACCTGAGGCGAGCAATTTCCCCCGTGCAGGGCCGTCTGGCTACGGCCAGCGTCGATCTATCCTCTGATGCACGCAGCCGATCGCGCGCCCTTGCAGCCCGCCGTCTCCCTGCCATTTGGCGACGAGGGTGCCGCGGGATAGGGGGACGGCGCCCTCTGCTCGCATCGCCCGCGTCTCGGCAGTCGCTGCGGCGGCGGCAGCACACCATGAGTAGCCCTCGGCGCGAGCGCCCGCCTCTTACGCAGCGAAGGTATAGTCGGCACTTGCTGTTGCGGGATTCGACGTCCGCCTGCCTGACGAGGCAGCCAGGAAATCTACCGCACACGTGACTCTACTGCCGAAAGCCAGCTCTGCCTTGGAATCGCAGGCTACCGAACGACCCCCTCCCGACCCGCCGTGCTTGGCTGCTGATGCTGCTGCTAGAATCAAGTTCGAGTGCTGAGGCTCGCGGATACCGCCTTGTTCGAGGGAGCCGGACAGACCATGTTGCTTCGGTCACGTCGACGCGCGCCGCCGTACGAGCTTGGCTGTGCCCTTGCTCCTCTTTCCCGCCACCCTCCGCTTTGCATCAGCGTCTGGCCATTCGAGAGCTGCTTCGCGTCGCTGCCGTCTAAGAATCAGGGCTGCCTAAGCCTCGGACCGACCCGGTTTACCCTCTCAAGCTACTCCCCAACACCCGCAGCTTGATGTTCGCATATAAATGGCTGGTCTGGTTCCCTCAACTCTTTGGCCCATTCCCACTGCCCGGTGATTGACGAGCTGGCTTCCATACCTCTTCAAAGCACACAGCGCGCGCGATGGTCGAATGTCTCGTGCCAATCCTGCACCTTGGAAGTGTGACGACCAGCCTATGCTGGGCATTATGGGCCATGAGAATATTCAGACCATACAGCCTCATGCTCACTATGCCCATGTCATCTTCCATTGCTCCCCTGCACCCGCTATCTCCACGCGTGCCAGGCTTCTTTGCGACAAACTCTGTCATTGCAGCGTAGTAATGACCTATCCCCAGGACTTGGAAGCAAGAGTTCTCTCAATATGATCCAAAACTTGGTGAGCTGATGGAACCAGGTCTTCATATCAAAATTCTGACAAGAGACGTGGAAACAACCGACGTGATCAGGGCTTGGGCTGGCTATCTTATGCTAGCGGGGCCTGGAAGTCGTCTCGAGCCGCCGAAGCCCACCTTAAACTACTCTCCTGCACCGTCTGTGAATGGAGACATCGACTCGGCGGGAAAGACCATCATGCTACGTATCAGCGCTGAAGGAGTTGGATTTCTGCAGCAGATATCTTTGCATACTACAAATCTCCTCTTCCCACTGCGCTCTAGGGGTGAAGATGGACCTAGCTCGTGCTCCATTGAAACGCATAGACGGCCACTTCACTGTTAAGCAGTGCCTAAAGACCCGCAGTCTGTCGCCCGACAGCGCCAGACCCGTCTCCGAACCTTCTGAAGCGTCGTCAGCGCCATTTCAAGCCCCTGGACTGCCGTCCGTCGACCCTTGCCATGGTATAGGGGGCGGCTAGCTATAAGGAAGCTCATAGATTCGCCATTCTGCTGGGTCTTATTACTAGCTCGAGATCTCACGTTTCCAACGCTCACCTCTCATCGATACTTGAGCCGTCTTGCACACTTCATCTACCACAGTTTTGTCCCAGAGATGAAGCAGGACCCTCCCCGCGACGCCCTCCCAACCCGACGCAGTGTGGAAAAAGCGGAAGAATTGTAGATCGTCTCGCTGCATTCTATAATCTCTCAGCTCTCTTTCCGTCAGCACGACTTCGCTCGAAAACTCCATGTACATTCGTGGTAGATCCAACCTCCTGGCCCAGTGATAGTTTGCTGCCATTAGAACCCGGCCTGCCGTCACCTCTTTCCAAGCTCGGCAGCGCTTCTTGGTCATATGCTGTGGTTTCCAGCGGAAATCGTAAATCAATGAGCCTCGCACACTTCAAGCGTGAGGCATGCTAGAATCAGACGTCCGCACCATCATGGTGCCTCTCGTACTGCCGCAACCACGAAATCTACCTCTATCCATTTCCATCTATACGAAACGCATCGACTAGTCAAGGTCCTACTAGACAATAGTTCTAGCCATCAGTGAAGATTATTACATGTGAATGTACATGCTCGTCTGACGCATGCATAGTCATTTCACTATCAAAGGGTATGAAGCCTTTTCGTAATAGAACAAGAATTACCATTAAATAGAGTAGTCTAATTTTACATTTATTAATGTAGATGTGGGTTAATAAGCTTGGTCAAAGCTCGACGGAGAGAGTATCCATCATGACGTCAAATATTATCACGTGTTCTAATGTTAACGATTACTCTTGTATAACTTATGTAGATGATGGAAGACGTAGAGGAACACATATACATTTTCGAATAACCAACCTGACATTTGTCGACCCTTGTGATATCACATTGTAAGACCTTCCAACACTGATCAGTGATTGCACAAGGCAATCACAGACTGGCAAGGAAGAAGAGACAGATCAATTCCTGAAGACCTCCCTGGCTTGACCATACTCTCGAGAAGGAATTTCTGTGCTACAGCCCTCAACGTTATTCAGACCTCCCTGGCTCGACCATACTCTCTGAAGACACGTAAGGAAGATCAAGGCTATAAATCAAGGCTTCTGATTCATTTCAAACTTTTGATTAAAGCCAAGATACGCGTCCTACCACGCAACTATCAGTTTTGTACAAATTATCTAATATAATGGCGAACGACACTCCCAAAGTCCCTGCAATTCCTACATGTACTCTAAATGATATCCTAACTGCAGGCACACTCAATATAAGCCCTGTCGCATGGCAGCAAATCGACCCGAGTCTCTGGTTTACCCCCGTCTCTGACAACCCGACTGAAGTTCATGTCACAACGTGGGTTGCACGGCAATTACAAGACTACACATATGGAAACTTGGTTGGAGATGATTTGTTCTATGCTTTTCAAGAGGACTTTGCAACCTGGACGGAAATGAATTTTGATAAGATAAATCAGCCATTTAAGAGAGAACTTAAGCTCCTCCTCCGCAAGCGAGGTATCTATACTGGCAAGAATAATGGTCCTATCGGACGACAACTTGCGAACTTGCTTAAAATAGAGTCATGCCCTGAATGGCCTGTGGATGAGCGTTGCCCAAACCCTCATGAAAGATTTGTCACATACAAACCGGAAGCAAAGCAAGAGGATACAAAAGTTTTGTTGCAAGGAACTTCTTTTCTTGATTCAAATGCCTCTCAACAGAAAAAAAAATTACAAGGATCAGTCACCTCGAACCTTTACAAAAATGAGCAACCACCTAGGCAATCACAAGCCGGAACGTCAACCATGTTACAGAATCCTTACATCACATTACCACCAGAACCAACTGTAAATGAAGATTTAGATCCCCATGTGCTAACCCAATTCGCTAAGCTATGGGATAAAGGAAAAATGTATTCAGGCGAGCCGTATGATATACTTGATGACAAGCTTCGAATTTTCCTGAACATTTGTAAATTTTTGAAAATCCGACCCGGTCAATTCCACGCAGCATTTCCAAGGATTTTAAAAGGTCGGGCTGAAACGTACTACCTTCATTACATCGGCCCGGAAGCGAACTTTGCGTTGGCCTATATGAAACTTAAGGCGCATTTCGATACAGAAATCAACCATAATACGTACTACACAGACTGGACTACAACAACTTTTCATAAAGTTCGCCAAGAAAATAGTGAAAAGTCTTTACAAGAAGTACTCCAGATATTAATTGACAAGCTTGAACTTTGCCAACGCGCCCTTGGTCCGAACTATATTGGAGAAGAAGTGCTACGTACCGCCGTCATT